ATATATATATATATATAGTATGTGTGTGTGTGTGTGTGTGTGTGTGTGTGTGTGTGTGTGTGTGTGTGTGTGTGTGTGTGTGTGTTGGAAAGACTGGAAGAAGTCTCGTCTTGTCCAAGCGTTTCTTCACACGCGGGAAGACGTTCTTACAATTTCCAAGTCGTCCTCGTTCGCGGCTTCGAGTCACGGCGCGAAGGAAAAACATTTTCCGAGCAAATTGGAACGGGGATAGCTTAACGTCGGCGAGATGAAGGAATAGTGGCAAGTCTGGCGAAAAGCCACCGAGAATTTGTCTCCCCGAAACGAGTTTCTGGAACCGCATTGCTATTTCACGCATCATTTGACTTTTGAAACGATCAATTCATCGCTGGCATAATTAAACAAATTTTTCCATAATTTTTCCATTTGCTACAATTGTTTTTATCATTGCGTTTACGATTATTTATCAACAGCTCTCATGAAGTACAGTAAACATTTATTTAATGTTACCTTTGAAAGGATATGCGGCATCGGAACGGAAATTAGAATAAATACTGCAATTTGCTCGTAACTCATTCAAGGATGACGTTCTTCCGCTTTGCCGTTATCCTTGGATCCCGCAGCTAATTAATAAACCTGCGATTAATGTGTAATCGGCCGGGTGGACCAATTGAAAATTAATGGCTTCAATCGTTGTCACGCGAATTAATTGCCTCGTCACTGCGGTACGCGGATAAAGTTGTTATGTCGCGTGGTATGGTGTGTAAAATACGCGGGGATCGCGGAAACCGATAATAACTTTCACATTGATAAGAATATCAAATCTTAAGTATGTGTGACCCGTACTCAAGTAAAAAGACAACAACCTGGACGAAAATTGAAATTTTTTTACGGCAAATTTTATTATGTCCGATGACACGAGCAACTCACGTTCGCATCGTTAGTTCTTGCGATATTTATCGAAACTCATATTGTAGCATACGCTTCTCCACGGTACGCTGAAGAATGTCAGAAAATATGAAATACGTTTTTCTTTGTATACACGAGATGAAAAACGATGGTCGTGGATATAATATAACGTTGTTATAAATATATTTTCGCTGGAGGAAAAAACGTACGTGCGAATAAATCTACCGCATCAACGTGCGATTTTAGTGCAGGAAAAAATTTCTGGAGCTTTTGCATTTTAGATACACCCCTCGTAAATACGCAAACACTAAACCCGGCGATTTATGTTCCCGATGAATGACGTTAGAATGCGTGTCGCGCGAGAAAATAATAACGTGGTGTATAGCTCAGCACTGGCGTGCAAACACATTCTTATAGAAACGCGACGTTATTTATAACCAGGTAAAAACTTTCTTTCGTGAATTGACTGGTAAATAATGAAAGTAACACGTCAGCCATAATGCGCATAATCGTATAATTATCGCATGCCTCCAGCGGCGTAGACACTATAATAAGATATTTGATCGTGACACGCGACCTGCGGAACAGCTGAGTCACACTTACACTTCTTTGTGGCAACCGCAGCATTTTGCGTGTCTACGCCCTCGCACGCGACGCCTTGGACTGCAAATTCCGGATTTTCTTTTTCTTCTCCTTGCGCTACTCTCGGTACTTTCAGGAGATATCCTACCGTAAGGAGGGTACATCGATACCTTATTCTTTCAAGCCTGCTTGTGGTAGCATCGTCGTCCTCGAAGCCAGATGTATCGAGTACGAGCGTGCTCGGTCATTCGGGAAAAATGGGAAAAAGAGAGGAGAGAGAGAGAGACGCGACGCGACGCGATGCGACGCGATGAGGGAGAACGTAGAATTGGGTCGAACACCAACGAGAGGGCGAGTAGAGCCGGATAGATAGATAGAAGCGGCCGCTTGTTCGCGCAACTTCCGCGTTATCACGACGAGAGATTCTCGAAGAGGGCTCCGCAGCAACGTGCCGCGGGCAGTTTTCCCCTCTGACGAGAGATATCACATCATCTTTTACCCACAAATCCCACCGTATCCTGATGTTTCACCATAACCGGGCTTTTTCTTTTTACGAGGCAATGATTCCGCCCGTCCACACACATACACACGGACAACGTGCATAGCTCCGAGCACTTTTCTTTTGTTCCTTTTATTCCTATTGGCCGATTTTTCGTCGTGTGATACGACGGAGATGTTGCGTTTAACGGATAAGAAGCGAGTGCACCTCGCTGCTCTCGTGTCTCGCATTATCCGTTTGTGTTGTACGGACACAATGCTTCACGGGGGCGTGCCGCTTTGCGTCAGAGATGTATTTGCAATTTAACAGTTACACATAGTAGTTTACGTCACCTCGAGCTATTCCGAGTTGGCGAAGAAAGAACTCAGTGCGACTTGAATACAAGGATAAAGTTTTGCAAACGCATGCGACGGTACGACAGGCGTAAGGCGATTTATCGCTACTAATTGGGCAGCAAACATTATGTTGCTAAAGTACTCGTGTAAGCAAGCAAGTAAAACTATTGAGCATAAAGTCACGCGCGAAAGATCTGTCGTGGAAGGCATATATAATGCAAGACAAATTGTTCGGCATGGCGGCGTTGAATTATTCGCCATACCTCGATCCTTTACCTCGGAGCTCGTTGCAAATTATGTACTTGTAGAATGTCTACGAAATGACAAAGCTTAATAAAGAACTGGTTCTTTGGTGTTATGCATCGCGCATTTCCGCGTCCCTCCGTAATCTTATTGCGACGACGCCATATTAATTTACATAACGAGAAACGGCGAAGCAAAACTCAAGAATGACTTAATAACTCGAACGGAAAAACGTGGCTCGTAGAAAAAAGATACGATACGTGTGAGATAATAATATAATAATTAAGAGAATTTCTTAAACAAATTATTTGCAATTTAGAAATTTGAATCTTCTGTAAACTCGTTAATCATTATAAGTATACCGTGGATATGCTATCTCGAAATAACTATCGCAAAAGAGCGAGTTCAAAGCGCGAGAGATTATTGTCAATTTGACTAATGAAATTTCCACGTCGAAAGTTCGGTTCGCCAAACAAAGGCAAACTCCGATCTTAATCCGCTATTTCTCGGTGCATTGTAGAAACGGTCAGGTGTTGCGTCGTACGAAGAATAAATACGGCGTGTGTAAACGTGTGCAGCGTTTTCGGAAAGTTTGCACGCTGGGTGTTTCGTCGAGTACCTTGAACAATTTAAGCAGGGAGAAGCGAGAGAAGCGTATCTCACCGCGCGCGTTAACTATAAAATTTGTGTTGCAACATAAATAATTCATTGCGACAGAAAATGCAGCAGCATTTTTGCCGGAAGGTGCTTTTCGTCTTTTTATCGAGGAACCTTATTTCTATCCGCCTATCAGAAATCTATTACAGCAGTTACTTGCATTTTTCAGGTGTACCGCATGTAAACCTCGCTAGATATTGTTATCTTTGTTCGGGGCGAAATTAGGCCATTCGACTCGATGTGCAGCTTGATACTTGTTTCTTGACAAAAATCATGCTAAGCAGCGTGCTATCGCGGTTCGCACGCGAAGCTCGCGAAATGAAGTCACGATTGCCGCAACAAAGTAATGAAGAGATATCGTCGATAGAAGAAAACGGAGCGCGAAAAATTAACGCGATCGGTAATCAGCTCTCGTCGTCGTGAAGAAACAACGCAACGTAAAAAGTATCTCCCGCGGAGATACTTTGATAAAACACATGACACGCTTCTCCCTACAAGCGTAATATTTTAATAAAACGTTCTTTGTAATGAGCGACGTAACGCTCAATCCGACATCGACTTAAGGGCGAATAATCGCGTTCGCTCTGATTACCGTATAAAATCCGATCGACGAAGTACGATCATTTATAGGCCGTGCCAGTAATAGACGTATAGCAACGGCGCTGCCGTGACACAAAACTACTCTCGACTGTTATTCAATGCAATCAGACTCGAGTCGACTAGATCGCGTGGAAACGTATAGCAATAGCTAGCAATAGCCATACTGTAACAATAGAAAACGATTCCTCATATAGCATCTTGCCTCGCGTACGTAGACCTGACTCGTTCCGGCTGA